CTGGTGTAAGGTATTACTCACAGAGGAAGTGCACGGCGCTGGTGTAAGGTATTACAGAGGAAGTGCACGGCGCTGGTGTAAGGTATTACTCACAGAGGAAGTGCACGGCGCTGGTGTAAGGTATTACTCACAGAGGAAGTGCACGGCGCTGGTGTAAGGTATTACAGAGGAAGTGCACGGCGCTGGTGTAAGGTCTCACAGAGGAAGTGCACGGCGCTGGTGTAAGGTATTACAGAGGAAGTGCACGGCGCTGGTGTAAGGTATTACAGAGGAAGTGCACGGCGCTGGTGTAAGGTATTACTCACAGAGGAAGTGCTGTGCCTCCTGCACTCGCTTTTCTGTAAATCTAAAACTATGTGAAATAAAACACGTGCTTAGGAGAAGAATATCAGGCTTGATAAGAATTACATTATGCTCTGAAGGCAAAGAAAACTAACCAACTAAATTTTTTTTTGACATGTGAAGAAGCCCTTTTGTTCCCTGATGAATGCACTGTGTGGTTCCCTTGGAGATCACGGGAGGGACTGAGCATTCAAGGCCCCCAGGCGGCTCACTGGGAAGAGCACATTCCGGAGGGTGTCTCTTACCCTAGTGAGTCACATGGTGAATCATGTCTAACTACGTGCTGCGCCCTGAGTTCACCCCACCTGGAGGGCATAGCAAGGTGGCAGTGATAATACATCCCACATCCAACCTCACTGTCTCTGTGACATGGCAAGGAAAAGGAGGGATCTTGTCAGAAAGAACTGCCTTGAATTAGGGTGCTTGCAGCTGAGAACCTAGGATAATCCACTTTCACCCTAAGCTAGGATTGTCATTGGTTGACCTTTGAAGCAGGACAGTTTTCCACTGAGTATCACATAGAACTCTAGGCCCCAGGACATTTTTAAAATATTTCCTTTATTTTTTTTTACATTTATAATTTTTATTTTATGTGTATGTGTGTATTGCTTGCATGTAGGTAAGTGCACCCGTGTCATGCAATGCCCAGGAAGGACAGAAGAGGCTGTTGGATCCCCTGGAACTGGAGTTACAGTTGTTAGCTGCCATGTGGGTGCTGGGAATGGAATCTGGGTCCTCTGCAAAAGCAGTCAGTGCTCTTAATTGCTGAACCATCTCTCCAGTTCTGCCCCCAGGACACTTATGACAACCAAAACTATGTCCACAAACTTCTAAACGTTCACAGTTTCCACCTCCACATGCTCCACCCCATCCCATCAGGCTTTATATGGGAATAAATAGGGAGGAAAGTGGTAAAAATGTGTCAATGAGGGGCTGGAGAGATGGCTCAAAGGTTAAGAGCAATGAGGACCGTTCAATTTCTAGCACCCACATGGTGGCTAACAACCATCCTAACTCCAGCTCCAGGGGAATCCAACACCTTCTCCTGACGTCCAAGGACATTGCACGACACGGGTGCACTTACACACATGCAGGCAATACACTCATACACACAAAATAAAATAGTTTTTTTTTGTTTTTGTTTTTGTTTTTTGTCTTTTTGAGACAGGGTCTCCCTGTAGCCCCAGCTGTCCTGGAACTCACTATGTAGACCAGGCTGGCCTTGAACTCACAGAGATCCGCCTGCCTCTGCCTCCCAAGTGCTGGGACTAAAGGCATGCGCCACCAGCCTGGCAAAATAAACATTTTTAATGTGTCAATGGAGCAGGAAAACAACCAGCCCCAAAAGGAGTTAACTACACGTGAAAATATTCACAGGCAGGTTGGAGAGATGGCTCAGCGGTTAAGAGCACTGACTGCTCTTGCAGAAGACCGGGGTTCAGTTCCCAGCACCACATGGCGGCTTCAAACCGTCCTTACTCCAGTTCCGCGGGAATCCCTCTTCCGCGGGAGCCCTCTTCTGACCTCCGCGGCATTGAACGACAGGGGTGCACTCACATACATGCAGGCAATACACTCATATATAAAATAAAAATAATAAAATAAAATAAAAATTCACAGACAAGTTGATTCACACGGCAGAAGAGGGGAGATCGGGGAGATTCAAATAGATGTGAGCACTTGCTTCAAGACTGCAGCGGCAGCGTTATGCTGGGGAAAGCTGTCTCATGAAGGCCCTTCATCCCTTACAACTGCGTGTGAATCTGCAGCTTTGTCAGTAAAAATCTCAATGAGAAAGAAAGAACTGAAGGGCAGCCACTGTTGAGTCACAGATGTACAGCTCCTCCCTCTGACCCTGCAAACTCTCTCAATGCACCGTCAGTGGGCAAAGCTTTGGGAAATCAGAATCCCAGGGCTGCCTCAGGCCCTAGCTGTGGGTTAGATACCCAACCTCTCTAAACTGTAGCTTCATCTAAGCAACTGGGTGGCAGGACCAGCTTCCCACCACTGTTGGAATGATTAGATGTCATGTGTGAACTGCCTGGCATATGGCACTCAATAAATGGCAGGAATCCATGTCTCTCCAGCCCTTTGGTTGCTGGTTATAGAACTTTGTCCCAAGTCTTTTACCAGGCCTTCGAGGTGGCTAGGTGAGTTAAGGCACTTGCTGCCAAGCCTGATGACCTGAGTTCAGTCCTAGGACCCACATAGTAGGAGAGAATCAAGTTGCCCTCTGACCACATACAGCAAAGCATGCATTCATACAAATATAAACAAATATATTAAAACCCACTATATCTTTGGACTGGTGAGATGGCTCAGTGGGTAAAGGTACTTGACAACAACTTCCTCCACCAACTTTATCTCAAATGCCACTTTGTCTGTGCAGGACCCTTGACTCCTTGTACTGTTTTTAGCACTGCACCTGTCCCCCAAACTCTGGGCTGCACATTCAACCTGCCTTCAGACTTCCTGTCTCCTGGAGGTGCCATATGCTAGCAAGAACACCACATATGTACAGGCTGAACTGAGTCAGGGTTCCACATCCCTCTAGCTGGCTTGCTGGGACAGCTGGCTGCAGGTTTCCGGCCTCCACTCCCTCCACAGGGTGGCCAGCTGCAGAATAAACAAACCAGCACCTGGAGGCCAGTGTCGGATGTTTTAGCACAGAAATAACTTACGCAGAGGGTGAGGGCTGTTCTGACCTCTGGTCTCCAGGGTTCAGGGTCTAGCCCTTCCCTCCAGCTTTCCCACCCACACTGGTCCAAAGGTCAGGCCTATTAACATCCACTCTGACTTAGGATGTCCTGGGGTCAAGCAATGCAGGAACTGACCAGCTGGTCCTCTCACTAGGCACTGCTAGAGAGTCCCAGCCCTCCTCAGCTGGCGTCAGGAGCTAACCACGGTGGCCTGGGCCCTGGTGGCAGAAGGCAGTGACGAGTTCATGAGGAAGCACAGCACAGGCTCTCTCCAGTGTTCGCACCAACCCTTTGCCTGAGTGCGTGGGGAAAAAAAAGGAGAGACAGTGTCTGCCCCCCTAACCTACAAGCTCCTACTTGTATGAATCCTCCTCCCTGCCAGTACCAGGGTACCTCAGAGTCAATACACAGGTCTAACCTTGCTTTGTCTGTGTGAGATCCAATGCAAGGTTTCCAGCTAGGGCTTCCACATCCAAATCCCAGGCCCCACAGCACAATCCAATGTGGAATCCAGATGTTGGCGCCTTCATGCAGGACCCATGCCCTGTCCAGGCCTCTGTGACTGCTCTTGGTATCAGAAACTCTCTTCTGAGGATTCACGCTGCAGTGGCTCATCTTCATTGACAGCTTGATGGATTTTAGAATCACTTAGGAAACACACCTCTGGCATGTCTGCGAGGACATTTCCAGGGAGGTTTAACTGAGGGCAGGGGACTCACTCTGAATGTGGATGGTACCATCTCAGTGGATGGTACCATCTCATGGGCTGAATGAAAAGGAGAAACTGAGCAGCAACACTCAACTCTCTGTGACCACAGATGCAATATGACCAGCAGCCACGTGTTCCTCCAGTCACGATGGACTTCATCCCCCTCAAGCCATGAACCGAAATAAAATCGTCCTTCCTTCAGTTACTTTTGTTAGGTATCACACACACGCACACACACCGCTGCCTTAGTGTGCTGAATTAGTAGTTGCATTGTGCAGAAATCTCCATGACCCCTCTTACCCACTTTTCTGAAAGCACAGATGAGGTGACATGTCCATCCTGTCCCCGAACTCCGCAAGCCCCTCTATGACAACTGAGAGCTCTGAACCCCACCGGCTGCTGCGTACGTGGTTGGGGCTCCTGCTTCAAAGGGCCTGGAAGTGCTCCCATTTCTCCCTCCCACCCCATCCCAAGCATCCTCTCCCCTTCCTATCAGCTGTTTGACCAGGAAACCCGTCTGAAACCTCTTTCCCCAGGCATCAATTAGTTCCGCCGCTGCTGACCATGGGATGGTGGTCCACCAGGCCAAAGCTTAGCTGTGGGTTCTCCCTCCCCAGAACTGCTGCTATCCAGAACCCAGGCAGCAGGGACTAGGTCTGTGAATGGCCAACAGGATGGTGGTGCCCAGCTCCCTGGCTGAGTTTCTGGGGCCTTGCTAGTGTCTGTCCACACCAAGCATGAAACTCAGGTTTTTCCTCAGTTCAGCTTGGTTTTCTGGTCACTCCGGGGCCCTTCTGTTCTATTCCTGGCCCCCTGTGTTAGCTGCATCTGGCTTGGTTGCTTGTGTTCAGTAGAAACTTAACTCTCTAGAGCTCAAGCAGGGATTGGGCCCCTAAATGGAATCAGTAGGGGTATTTTTGTCTATACTTGTTTTCTGTCTTGTTATCTTAGGAGCCTCTTTAGGGGCCCTGGAGCTAGGGTTGGTTAGGAAACTAAACTCACCCCTATGTGTTGTTTCCAGAGAAGCACCTTAGACCCTGGAAAGCTCTTGACCCCCGCCCCCAGACCCCACAAGGGAAAGCATAGAGGCTCTGAATAGCTCTCCAGAATGCCTTTCTTTCGATAGTACCCTTAACTCCACATGCCCTAAAGGTACCAGCCTCTAGGTCAGGGACAACAATCCAGTGCCCCAGACAACCAGCTTAACTTCTGACCAAAGGATGCACAGACTCATGACCAAAGGATGCGCAGACCATATTTTATTTCTGGGAGGAAGGTTCGTACTTCCCTATCTAGTGTAGCTCTCAAAGTTAACTGGGGCTCCACTCCGGGTGCCTGGAACTACAGGTCCTTTCCAAGCACCTGAGCTAACCCTCACCCCTCCTGGACCACCTCTCCCTTGTCTCTCTCCTCAGCTTCTCCAGCATCTTTCAGATTTTGGCGAGCAAACTCCTCAAAAACCAAATTTTCATCCTGACCACTGAAAGAAAACAGAGAACATGTTGGTTAGTGCACAGTCTGAAGCTGAGGATGGAATCCTGAATAAAACTAGACACCGATCCTGAAGTAACAGATCCAGATCAGACATGTTCCCAGGATGGACTGGGGACTGTGCTTTTCCCCTCAGGGCTGTTCACGGTTGTTTTCTGTCTCTTGTGTTTTTGTTGTTGTTGTTGTTGTTGTTGTTTTCTTGGTCTTTTTTGAGACAGGGTCTCCCTGTAGCCCCAGCTGTCCTGGAACTCACTAGGTAGACCAGGCTGGCCTTGAACTCACAGAGATCCACCTGCCTCTGCCTCCCAAGTGCTGGGGTTATAGGCATAAGCCATGGCTCTCAACTAATGCTTTTTTGTTTTAAAGATTTTTTTAACAAACAAAAGCCAGAGAAAAAGTGAGAGGACAAGAGACATATCCCGTGTATCCGTGCACAGACTTCAGTCCTTGTGAGTGGAGGGACACAGACTATAGACAGACATTGTAAGAGGGGTTCGGGAGGAATCACAAAACACAGAGAAGCTCAGGGAAGCATTCAGATGCCTTACCTTTCCTTCGCTGTGAGCCCAGAATGAAAGGGGAGGGGAGGGAGGGAAGGGGAGAGGGAGAGAGAGAGAGAGAGAGAGAGAGAGAGAGAGACAGAGAGACAGAGAGACAGAGAGAGACAGAGAGAGACAGACAGACAAAGACAGAGAGAAAGAGAGAGGTTACTGTCAATTAATTTAATTAGTTTCTTCTGTTTTGAGACAAGGTCTCATATATCCCAAGTTGGCCTCAGATTCACTATATATTTGAGGATGACCTTGAACTTCTGATCTTCCCGCTTCTATTTCCCAAGTGGCATATGCCACCTCTCCAGGCATTCTGTGGTACTAGGAATCAAACCCAGAACCAGAAGATATGAAACTGAGCTATATCCCCAGTACCCAACCTTTTTAATACTTTTTATGTTGAGACAAGGTCTAAGTTGCCCAGTCTGGCCTTGAATTCACAGTGCTCCAACCCCTGGTGGCGAGATGGCAGGCCTGTTTCAACAGGACTGGCTCCAGTTAGGTTCTAGAAGCCAGGGTGAAAAAGAATGTCTGTAGGAGTCCCCAGGCACAACAGGAGGCTGACCTGACAAAACCCCTCCTGGGGCTGGGCATGGTGGCACATGCCTTTAATCCCAGCACTCAGGAAGCAGAGGCAGGTGATCTCTGGGAGTTTGAGGCCAGCCTGGGCTACATAGCAAGTTCCAAGGCTATAGGAAGACCCTGTCTCAAAAAACTGACCGACCAACCAAACCAAACCAAACCAAAGCAAAAAGCTGGCCCACGTAGACTCAGGGAGCCAGGAAGTGGGCAAGGAAGAGAGAAGATAGGAAATTTAGTCACTTGAAAATCTCAGGAAATCAGAGTTCTGCAACCACAGAGTGAGTTGTACCAACACTTGCTCTCTAAGTCTCAAGCACAAATGATCATTGTTTCATCCTGACTTTATGAAATGTTGAATGTAAAGAGGCCACTTCTTCCAAAGTAAGTCACCTCTATCTAAAGTTCTATAACATGGGGGCTGGAGAGATGACTCTGGTTAAGAGCACTGGCTGTGCTTACAGCCTGGGTTTGTTCTCCACACCCACAGGGCAGCTAACAACCATCAGTGACTCCAGTTTCAGAGGATCTGATGCCCTCTTCTGGCCTCCATGGGCACTTCATGCATATGGTACACTCAGATACATGCAAGCTGACCACTGATACACACAAAAATAAATAAAATCTTAAAATAATAATAGAAGTTCCAGAAAATGACCCAGCATAACCACAATGTCTCAGGTCACTGGCTTTTCAGTGTCCTTGAAAGGAACCAGAAAGTGTCTAAATCTTGCACAGTTAAAAGAAATTGTATTTTGGGGACTGGGGATATAGCTCAGTGTTAGAACGCTTGCCTAACACATGTGAGAGCCTGGAGTACATCACTAGCACTCAAAAAAGAAAGGGGGAAAAGAAGTATTCGGGTAGCACATTTTCAAGGCTGCTTGAATCTCTTCCCTGGATTGAACCCTGATTAGTCCAAGTAAATGCTAAAAATAACATTCTAGTGATACAAACATAAATAAATAAAAAATTTATGACTGGACTGTATTTTCTCCCCAAGGGGATATTTGAGATCTCTCTCTCTCTCTCTCTCTCTCTCTCTCTCCCCCCCCCCTCTCTCAATGATCTCTCTATGTAGCCCAGCCTGACCTAAAACTTACTATGTAGCTCAAGTTAGCCTCCTAAGTACTGGGATTACTGGTATGTAACACCACACATGGCTTTATTCCTTGAACTCGAATTCTATCCACTTCTTTGCCGGGACAGTGGCACAGTTTTTAGTAGGTTCACAGACTTATGGAACTATTGCCTCTTTAAACATCCATACAAGAGTCAATGGATTGATAATCATGTGAACTGAGGTGTCAGGAACCCAGACTGACCTTTTTCTAGTATTTTCTGTATTCTCATCAAAATTGCTTTCTTTTTTTTAACTTATTTTTTTCTTTTTTTTTTGTGCAATGCCCGCAGAGGTCAGAAGAGGCTGTCGGATACCCTGGGACTGGAGTTATGAACAGTTGTTAGTTGCCATGTGGGTGCTAGGATTCAAACCTGGGTCTTCTGCAAGAACAACCAGCTTTCTTAACTGCTGAGCCATCTCTCCAGCCCCTACAATCACTACTTTCAAATATATATATCATCTTCTTTTTTAAGATTTATTTATTTATTTTTTGTCTTTTTTTTTTTTTTTTTTTTTTTTTTTTTTTAAAAAAAAACCTTGTAGCCCCAGCTGTCCTGGAACTCACTATGTAGACCAGGCTGGCCTCGAACTCACAATGATCCACCTGCCTCTGCCTCCCAAGTGCTGGGATTAAAGGCGTGCGCCACCACGCCCGGCTAAGATTTATTTTATTTTTATAATTTTTATTTTATTTGTATGAGTGTATTGCCTGCATGTTTGTGAGTGTACCCGTGTCGTGCAATGCCGTGGAGGTCAGAAGAGGGCATCAGTTTCCCCTGGAACTGGAGTCAAGAACGATTCATAGCCGCCATGTGGGTGCTGGGAATCAAACCCGGGTCTTCTGCAAGAGCAGTCAGTGCTCTTAACCACTGAGCCAGCATTTTACTTTATTGTTTAAACTTGTGTATATGTATATGTATGCATGTGTATGTGTATATATGTGCCCTATGTGTATGTGAATATCTGTGTATGTATGTGTATATGCATGTGTATGTGCATGTGTATGTATGCATATGTGTATGTATGTGTATGTACATGAGTCCTGAAGCCACGGAGGCCAGAAGTGTTGGCTCCTCTGGAGCTGGAATTACAGGTAGTTGTTCGCCGTCTGACAGGGATTCTGGAATTGAACTGAGGTTGTCTGGAGGAGCAGAAGTGCTCTTCAGTGCTGAACCATCTCCCCAGCCCCCACAGATCACCTTCTGAATGTCTGTTAAGCTTCCAGATGACACATGAGGCCTTTTGTTTCTAAATGAAAAGCAAAGCCTTGGACTCTTCAATTGATTTGTCCCTTAAATCATCTCTAGACCTAAATCCACATCTGTGGACAGCAGAGCATCTGTTTTAACACTGATAAAACCCCATGAGATTGACCCCATCCAAGAGAGAGCAGGGATGTTACACCCTCCGAACACAAACAGGAGGTAGTCAAGCTCAGTTAGGTCAGCTGGTTCTCCCTTCTGAGCTGACCTGTCACTCTGGATGACACCCATGCTCAGAGGTACAGTCAATAAAGACTAGGGGTGAGAACACAGTAAATCTGCCAACAGTGAATTGTTAGACAGCCTAGATGATGGCGTGACTGACCTGGGTCCTCCGGCTGGGGGTGCATGAGGCGGAATGGTACCTCAGTAGCCACTTCACTAGAAGAAAGGAAGAATGCAAGCCAGTGAGCGCACACACAAGCAGACACACGCACACATTACATGTCATACTTAGAAAATCAGGGCTGTAGGATTCACCCAGGATCCATTCAGTGGAATTAAAAGAAAACAAAACAGATGAGGAAGTGGTCAGGCAGGAATCTGCAATGCATTCCCTGGCATGGGAACCTCTAAGGCCTGGCTGAGGCAGCCAGTGTTCTTAGCTCCCTGCATCTTAGGTGCAGTGTTGGGATACTGTGGGAAGAGGAGGGGGAAACCCCGAAGGAAGGAGAGTTTTAAAATCTGTATTTGTAGCAAGGTACATCTGAACACATTAAAACTCTATGTGAAGCTGATACACCAAGGGTGGGTACAGTGTCTCTTGCCAAAGAGCAGAAGGGAAATCTGGAGAAAGGATGACTAGGAAGGTGAAGAGGGAGTAAGGGAGCAGAGGCTATCCCCTGCATCCCAGGAGCCCCTGCTGCCTACCCAGTGCTGACCAATTGATGTCCCAGCTGTAGAACCAGTCTAGATGACATGTGGTGTCAAAAACAGAGGTAGGCGGCTATTCAGGGCTAAAGATAGCCCAAGATAATTTGGCTCCAAGCCTGCAACATTCCAGCTCCCACAAACATAGAAATTGGGCAACCAGCCTTATAGCCCAGGTAGGGAAGAGGATGGTAAGAGCTGAAGCAAAGGACCATGTCAGGTGAATGCTTGTCTCAAATATTTCCAAACTTGCTTCTTTGTGCATGCTTCAGAAGAAATTTGTAGCTAGGTGTGGTGGTACACTCCTCAATCTCAGTACTAAGGAGATAGAGGCAAGCGGATCTCTGTGAGTTCGAGGCTAAATTGGTCCACATAGTGAGTTCCAGGTCAGTGAGACACTATCTATCTCAAAAAAACAAAAACAAGAACAAAAATGACATCTGTCACTATTCACAATTAGCAGAAGGTAGAAACAGCTTGAGTGTCTACTGTGAACTGAAGTTCCCAGACCAAAAAAGCCATACCTTTGTTGGAGATTCGGCAAGGCTGATGGACTGACTAGAATTTCTGTGATTGTGGGGAGTTGAAATGTTGCAGGTCTGCGGCCAAATTATCCTGGGCTAGCTTTACCCCTTAAGAGCTATTTATTGCCCACTTCTGTGTTTGATGTAACATCTTGTGACTATTAGATCAGTTTTGGAATTGCTGAAGAGACCCTAGCTTCCACCAACCAAAAACCTAAGAATGCCTTCAGAGGGCATCTGAGGCCCACAGAAAAGATTTCCCCATTTTGCTGTAACCTGATGCTCCAACCAATGTGTTTTATTTTATTTGGATTTATTTCTATTTTGTGTGAATGAGTGTCTTGTCTGCATGTATGTAAGTGCACTCATGTCATGCAATGCCTGCGGAGGCCAGAAGAGGGTGTCAGATTCCCTGGAACTGGAGTGACAGTCATTAGCCACCATGTATTTTTTGTATTTTTTTATGTGTGTATGTGTGTGTGTGTGTGGCTGCTGGGAACTGAGCCAGGTCCTCTATAAGAACAGCCAGTGCTTTCAACTGCTGAGCCATCCCAATGTATTTTTTTATTTATTATTTTTATTTTATGTGTATAAGTGTATTGCCTGCATGTATGTAAATGTACCCGTGTCATGCAATGCCCATAGGGGTCCAAAGAGGGTATCAGGCTCCCCTAGAACTGGAGTTATGGATGGGTGTTAGTTGCCATGTGGGTGCTGGGAATTGAACCTGGGTCCTCTGCAAGAGCAGTCAGTGTTCTTAACTGCTGAGCCATCTCTCCAGCCCCATCCACCAATGTATTTTAAAAATACCTTGGCTTGTGAGTTTCTTTGTTCTTTAAGTATAAAAAAACCTTTCACAAGACTGTCACTATGTTGGATGATGGTATGTGGAGTGCCCGAGTCTGTGTTCCCAGGCTGCTATCACACATATTGAGCTCCAGAATAAATGATCTCCTATTCTCTTTGAGGTGAGAGCTATATCTTTATGTCAACACCAGTAAATGAATAAACAAAATGTGGTATATCCTACAATGGAATATTACTCAGCCATAAGAAAGACTGAACTGTACTTTTATGTGCTGCAACACAAATAAACCTTGAAAACATTACGCTAAGTGAAAGAAGCCAACTACAAAGGCCACGTAATGAATTTTTTTTTTTTTTTGAGACAGGGTCAGCCCAAGCTAGCCTAGAACTCACTATGTAGCTAAATATAACCATGAACATCTGATTATCCTACCTCCACCTCTGGAGTGCTGAGATTACAGGCATGCACCACCGTACCCAGCTTATGCAGTGCTGGGAATTGAACCCAGGGCTTTGTGCATGCTAAGCAAATGCTCTGGAAAGTAAGCTACATGCCCAGCCCCAGAATAGGCAAATCCATAGACAGGAAGCAAATCGGTGGTTGGCAGGATATGTAGAGATGGAAAAAGAGTGATCACTCAAAAAGCAGCATGAAACAGAAAAGTATATGGTTTTTGTTGAGTTGTTCTGATTTTATTTTTCGACAGGGTCCCCCTGTAGCCCCAGCTGTCCTGGAACACACCATGTAGACCACGCTAGCCTTGAACTCAGAGAAATCTGCCTGCCTCTGCCTCCCAAGTGCTGGGATTAAAGACGTGCACCACCACGTTGGCCTAGCACTAGGTTTCTTTTCCAGGTACTAAAGTGTTCTGGACCTAGGTAGTAGTGATTGTTGTAAAACATTGCGTGTGTATTTAACTCCTCTGAATTGTGCACTTGAAAATAGTTAAAATGGTAAACCTCATGCTATGTGGCTTATAACACACACACACACACACACACACACACACACACACACACAAAGAAACCAAGCACCTGGTATGTGTGTGTGTGTGTGTGTGTGTGTGTGTGTGTGTGTGTGTGTGCCCTTGCCCACATCCAGGCCCATGGTCTCCAGCCTCATGCCCACTGGCTAGGCCTCTAGCAGCACACCTAGAACCAGAGCTCATCGATAGCATCATTCACAGCTCTGTGAGCACAGCTGCCCAGAAACCAGGTTTAACCAGTTTCCATTCAGTTCCAAGATCCTTGCCCTTAGCTTGCTGGGAGCTGAGTGGAGAAGAGAGGAGGCTTACCTGGAGGTGAGCTCTCCCAGAAAGCTAGAAAACACAAAACAAACAGCTGTGGTGACTGTCCCCAGCATAATGTAACTTCATACCCCATTGCTCGGAGGCAGCACAGAGCTGACCCCAACCCAGTAGTCACGGCTCTCACTCCTTGGCTGAACTTCCAGGACCCCCGCATCCTTTACCCTCAACATCACTCCTCCCCTCTGCTGCCTGCTTTCTCCAGAGATAACTTATGAAGTGGAGACAGATAGGTTCAAGCATAAGTCCCAGAATCGCAGCACTCAGAAGGCAGAGGCAGGAGGATCTCTGTGAGTTTAAGGCCAGCCTGGTCTACATAGTGAGTTCCAGGCTAGCTGGGGCTACAGGGAGACCCTGTCTCAAAAATAAACAAACCCTAGAATCAGACATTTTCAGCCACTCTGGGGTGGTGGAACATACCTGCCATCTCAGCCCTCTCAGGAGGCTGGGGTGGTGGGATTGCAAATGAGTCTCTCACTGTGGGTTATATAGGGGAAACTCTCTCAAGAAAAAAAAAAAAAAAAAAGGAAAAATAATTTCTTGGTCACAGAAGTCATTGGAAGTGCTGGCTAAGGCTGTCGCTGTCCCTTGGTGTCCCTGGGAGATTGGCTACAGGACCCTCGTGAGGGTGTTCCAAGTCTCTTCTAGAAGTCAGTATAGCATTTGCAAATGACCTTCACAATCCTCCCCTGTACTCTGAATCATCTCTAGCTCAAGATGCCTAACAGTCAGTGGACTATACTGTTTAAGGGATAAATAAGGTGAAATGTCTGCACATATCCAGTGCAGACAATGTTTTCAAGTATTTTCAATCTGTGATTTGTGGAAATCACAGATATAGAACGCAAAGATATAGAGACCCACAATGTTTCCTTTTTTGGACTATGAATTGGAACTCCACCCTGGTTTTAGATCCTGGAAGAGAAACGGGAAGGCAGCCCCATCCCATTCGAAAACCACAAGGAACATAACACTGTGCTAAAAATATATCCAAATCAGACCGAAAAAATGGGGAGAACTTCTACCTACTTAGAATACGGACACTTGTGGGGACTTGCATGACCAAGCCAACACAGGCCCATCAGGGGAAAAGGCCAGAGGCTTTGACAATGGAATTTGGAAGGGAAATGAGAATTCAAGTCTTTTCCTTTGATGAGATTATAGATAGTGATTTCACTAAAAAATTGAAAATATTTTCTTTAGAACTCTGGATATCAGCATGAAACAAAGATTCCCAACTCTGTGATTACATGTTTGTGGAAGGAACAGAGGAAGGATGGATTTGTCTTTTAGAGAGAGATAAGTCTAAAATGCAGGTAAAGATTCTGTTTGTTTTTGAAGCAAGGTCTCATTTGTAGTCCTGACTGGCCTGGAACTTACAGTGATCTTCCTGCCTCTGCCTCCCAAGTGTTGAGATTATAGGTATGCTCTACTCAAGCTTGTAAGATTGTGTGCGTGTGTGTGTGTGTGTGTGTGTGTGTGTATGCGTATGTGTGTGTGTGTATGTATGTGTGTGTGTGTATGTGTGTGTGTGTATGCGTATGTGTGTGTGTGTATGTATGTGTGTGTGTGTGTGTGTGTGTGTGTGTGTGTATGTGTGTGTGTTTGGTTTGTTGAGACACAGTCTATGTAGCCCAGGTTAACTTCAACCTCCATACACAGCTGAAGATGCCCTTAAACTCCTGATTCACCAGCTCTGCTTTCAAGTGCTGAGATTACAGGCATGTGCTACCATACCCTACTTGATTTTTTTGTTGGGGAGGCTGGGTCTCATGTCTCCCAGGCTGGCTTTGAATCTGCTAGGTAGCCAAGGATGGTATTGAACTTCAGAACGTCCTGTCTCTACCTACCTAGTGCTGGAATTACAGGCACCATCATATTCAGTTTATTTGGTTTATTCTGTGATGGGGCTCACAGCCAGGGCTTTGTAGCCCAGGCTAGCCATGGTTCTAATCCTCCTGCCTCAGCTCTGACGTGTTAGAATTACAGGCAAGAGGCACCAACACCCAACCCAAATAAAGGAAGATTTACAGAGAGTTCAGTAGGCAGCTGCTGTTCTTTCTGAACTTTGGAAACTAAATTAACTGTCAGATTTGCCACAGCCTCCATGGTGTTTGCGAATGCACACCTACTTCACTCAGCGCACTAACATGTGTGCGTGGCAGTCTGCTTTTCCAGCACCAATCCCTCCAACAGAACTGTGGAAGCTGGCATAACAACTCAGTGGACTTCTCCGCCTCCCTTGCCATCTGCCTGCTGGTCATTCAGGAGAGAAACAGTCCAGACTATCCAAGGCCAAGACAGGCCACCAGACACTTACCCTGACACTGTGAGCTTCACCTTGATGTGGTATGACACCAAGATCCCCATGACATTTCGGTCGATGCCCTCCTTAATGCTGCCCAATCAGAAAGAAGGAGAAAGATGAGGACAGCAGCGGGAAACAGAGCCCCCTGTCCCCATACCATCCAAAAGATGCTGTCTTGGAACTGGTGAGTACCACAGCTGACCACATGTCCTAGAACTTTACACATCTGTGGGGATAGGAAGCAGGACTCCTACATCTCCCCTGTGGTATACACACAGGCGCAGCATGCGTCCACCATCTCAGGGTTTGTTCTCCACTAATGTTCACTCATCTGGCCCCCAGGGTACCCCATCCTGTTCCCTTCCTCTTCCTGACCTGCACTGACCACCATCCCAGTAGCTTCTGAGTAGCTCCCTCCATCTTCCCGAGCAGGAAAGCCAGTGAGGAGCGGACCTTGCTCTCCTGTTAACTCACCAGTAACCCTCAGTGAGTTGTTTCTCATTCTGGCTCTATTTAGGGGTAATTTCCTTATCTGTAAAATGAGTTCAAGTACAGCTTCCTCACCAAGATGTGGAGAGGTGTGAACATTTATGAACCACTCTCTGAACTATAAAACAGCTTTGCAGCATGACATGCAGTTGTTGACACCTGATCACGGAACCCCTAAATCTATCTAGAGCATCAGTTCCCTGTCATTCTCCCCCAGACAGACCTTCACAAACACACTTTAGAATCTAACATAGAAATCTGGCAAGTTTCCAGCCTGGGTCTTGGCTCCTACACCTGCCCTCCAAGTTCACTAGCCTATAGTCTCCCAGGAAGCCTGAAATGGCAGCTAGCAGCTAGCAGCTAGCTGTGCTATAGAGTTTTTTTTTTTTTTTTTCCCTAGAGCTTCTGCCCAAGTCCAGATCTTACTTTCATGTAAATCTAAAGCATATCCAAATGGAAACTAATGACAAAAGTCGCCACATGGGGTGCTTTTGGATGCATTTCTGGAGCACTCCCTAAATGTCAGGCACCACACATCACCTCACTTAATCCTCATCACCAGCCTGTGAAATTGGAACTGTGATCAGCCCCACTTTACAGACAGAGAAACTGAGGTTCTTAGAAGATCTCAAGGTACTTGTGCCGGGTCACCCAGAAGGCAAGCTGTGGCACTGTGGTTGGTACAAGGCCATGCCCAGAGTCAACCTGGGCAACCACCACACTGTACCAGGGCAGGAACTGGAGGCTTGTGGGGGGGGGGTCCCTGCATCTGCACTGTGCTACCAGCACCAGGCTCTCTTGCTGATGTGCCCATTTGTAAGCCCCCAGGGCAGACCAGCACCAGTCTGCACTGATGGCCCATTCACAGAGCCTCTAGGACTCACACGGTGCTGGAGGCCAGGTTTGTGTCCTCATGCTTGATCCTCCCATCCAGTGCAATGCCTCTTTTCTCACGGTTGTTAGCCAGCAGGGGTATCACCATCAGTGTCTTAGTTAGAGTGCTGTTTGGTGACACTTCTTCTCTTGAGGAAGAACAACAGAGAGATTTTTAGCTGTCAAGCTCACCACCAATCTCATGAGATCCTATTTATCACAGAGCATCTTCCCAGTCAAATTCCCATATTGCACAGAAGGACATGAAAACTCTAGAGCCTGACAACGACATTTCAAGGCTGGGAAGATGGCTCAGAGTACTTGCTGGGCATGCACAAGGGACTGCATTGCCAAGAGCATTGTAATCCTGGCCCTGAGGTGCTGGAGTCGGGCAGATCCTTGGAGCTCAATGGCCAGCTAGTCAAGCTGAATTGTTGAGCTCCAGCTTCACTGAGAGGGCCGTACATAGTGGCACACACTTTTAATCCCAGCACTCAGGAGGCAGAGGCAGGTGGATCTCTGTGAGATCAAGCCCAGCCTGGTCTACACAGTGAGTTCCAGGCCAGCTGGAGCCACAGGGAGATCTTGTCTCAAAAGAAAAAAACAACATAAAAAACAAGTTCAGTGAGAGACATTGTCTCAGAAAATAAAGTGGAAGGGCTGAAGATATTGCTCAGCAGTTACGAATGACTATTGTTCTCCTGGAAGACCCAAGTTCAATTCCAGAACCCAATTTAGGCAGGTCACAACTGCCTATAACTCCAGCTCCAGGGGAGCCAATTTTTCTGGCCTCCTTGTGCACCTACATTCATGTGTGCATGCCAGACACCTGAAAACGAACAAAATAAGGTGGAGAGCAATTGAGGGAGACATTAAATGTCAACTCTGACTGACCTCCACACACATGTGCAAGCTCACCTATCCATGTAGACACACAGACACACAGAGTTTGGGACATTTCCTTAAGCCTCTCAGTCTGCTCTGAATGACTGAATTTCTAAGGTATTCTCGGGTTAAATAAAACCAACAGCCAGCATCCACCTATAATCCCAGCACTCAAGAAACTGAAACAGGAGACTCATGAGTTCTAGACAAGCCTGAACTACAGAGTGAAGCTCTGTTTCAAAAACCAAAACAAAACCACCACAACAAAACAAAACACTAAAAATCAAGTAAGACCAACTAATCCAAAGGTCTGAGACCCCAGCTAGTCTCCTCCTGAGATTTTCTGACGCCCACAGTGAACGGCAGAGCCTTTGTGTGAATGGCAATAAGAAGGCCATGCAGGACCACTGTAGCCAAAGGCTGTCCCTAGCAGGGCAGTCAGCATGTGATTTATGGTGGCCTGCTCCGCTGTGACCCATCTGACTAGAATGCCTTTTGTTCAAAGCTGCACGTGTCTTTTCTCTACTGGGGCTTCTGTGAGGTTTTGCAAGGTCTGCTACATGAGAGGAAACTTGTGCCAGTTCTGGGACCCAGCTGGGAACACAGCATTCCCAGGATCCCAAAGCAACACCTCAGCTGGATTATTGCCTCAGCAGTACATATATCAGGCACCAAGCCTGGGATAAGGGCAGAAAACAGGGTGTGGCCTGCAAACACTGGCTGGGAGCCAGCATCAGCACAACTTCCCGGACAAGTTCCAAGACATCTGGAAGTTTGAAACTGCCTCCTACGGGAAGGACTTCCCTGTTTGCTGTCCCTGGGGAATTTAAAACAGCTGTGACTTCTCCTGCCTCTGGTGAATACAGGAAGTTCTTTGCAGAGTTTTGTTTGAGCCCAGAATGGCTCACATCCTTCCACCTGGGTCTTGATGAATCTCTCTCATGAGCTTGACTGCCATCAAAAGAGGTTCCTGGGAGCTAGGGTGATGACCTTTACTGCAGCAGAATTTGCTGATGGATTGTGCCAAGTCCCCAGGGCTGTGCTCAGAGCCCTTGAGATCTCAGACAACACAGAAAGCAGCAGCTTAGAAGTCAAGTTTGGCCTGGTTTGAGGAGACCTACCCACCAGAACCCCAGGACTTGTGGGGTCTGGACCAGTGGCTCAGGATCTGTAGCCTTGTGAGTGACCTCTAGCCTGAGGCCACTATGATAACTAATCTTATCAACTGAATGAGACTGAGAAGTGCCTAGGAGATTAGTAAGCACATCTGCGAATGTGTCTATGAGAACAGTTTCTGAGACGATTAACCGAAGGGGAAAGACCTGCCCTGAATATCAGTGGTGACATTACATAGTCCGGAAGCCTGGGTAGAGTAACAGAGGGAGGGAGAGAAAGCCTGCCAGCACAGACATTCTCTCTGCTTCCCACCTGCCATGACATGAGCTGCTCTGCCTGTCCATCCACAATGGACTAAAACCTCCAAAACTGTGAACCAACAGATCTTTCTTCCTAAAGTTTGTTTCTTTAGGTACTTGTCACAGCAATGAAAAGCTAATCAGTATAACTGCTAATAAAAATCTGGATCCATTTCTAGTCTTTCTCCTCCCCTCAGGGAAATCTCAGAATGGTTTCCTGTCTCCTGGGAATCATTTGATCCAAGACACCCAAAGGTTTGAAAGGAAACCAGATAATAGGTTCTGTATCAGGAGAAAACTCGGGACTATTTGCTGCACTGTTACTGAGCATCTGCCAAAAGGTCAACCTGGACCAAGACTCCCCAGCCCTTGAACCAAAAGTTGAACAGACTCCAGGCCTTGTATAAAGAAGGCAGCCATGAGTTGTGCTTCTCTCCTGCTTACCCCCACAGTAGACCTACATTTACACTTAAGGCTGAGGGGCTCAGTGATTAAGAGCACTGACTGCTCTTGCAAAGGACCTGGGTTTGGTTACCAGCACCCCCATGGCAGTTAACAACAATCTGCAACTCCAGTTCCAGGGGATCTTACCCTCTCTGGCTCCTGTAGGCATTACACACATGGGGCACACTTATATGTAGGCAAAACAATTGTACACATTTAAAAAAAAAATAAGTAAAATATTTAAACTTAAGGCTGATTTTTTTTTAGTAATAGCTTACTCTAAAGTTGCCTTTTAAATATATAATGTGGTCTCAGTGACTCAGTTTTTCTTTCCTCACCAGCCCCCCTTCACCCCAACCTTCTTGTCACCCTAGTAATGTTTTTTGTTTTGTTTTTGTATACAACAGCACCAGACAAAGTGAAAAGATTTTCCCAAAGAGATACAAATCCACCCCCACAACCAAGCCTGTAAGTGAATCTGGTGACCTAGCACAAAGCAAAACCTGGTAGCCTCTTAGGCCCTCACAAAGTATCTACTGAAGATTCTCTTTGGGCTTTGACTCTACTAGAGGGAGAAAAGTCATCCACAATGGGCTATGAATGGATCCATTTTTTATAGCTGAGTTGTCACTGGTAGAAGACTTTCAAACTGGAGAGATGATCAGAAGACACAGCCAGGAGGCTCTCTGGAGGGGAGCCGGCACTCCCACTGAGCTGTGTTTTACTTTCTGCCACTCTTCTCTGGAGAGCCCATACCCATGCTCCGGGCTGCAATTTGTGTCTCCTTCCAAGCACCTCTCTTTCTCTTAAGCATATATTAAACTATCTTGCTGGTTATGGTGGCTCATGCCTTTAATCCCAGCACTTGGAAAGCAGAGGCAGGGGGATCTCCATGGGTTTGAGGTCAGCTGGGTCTACATAGAGAGTTCCAGGCCAGCCAGGGCTACATAGTGAGCCTCTCAAAAAATAATCTGATCAAAAACAACAAAACAGGGATTGGAGAGATGGCCCAGTTTTAAGAGTGTGTACTGCTCTTGCAGAGACCCCAAATTTGGCTCCTAGCAGTTGTGAGCCTATAACTCCAGTACCAGGGATCCAATGCCACTCTGGTACCGGGGATCCAATGCCCTCTTCTGGCCTCTTTAGAAGCATTGCTCTCACATGCACACACTCCCCCCACATACATGTAATTAAAGAATAATAATTTGGGGGGCTGGAGGGATGGCTCAGCGGTTAAGAACACTGGCTGTTCTTGCAGAAGACCTGGGCTCGAATCCCAGCACCCACATGGCAGGCAATACACAGATACACATAAAATAAAAAAAATAATAATAATAGCCAGGTGTGGTGGCGCACGCCTTTAATCCCAGCACTCAGGAGGCAGAGGCAGGTGGATCTCTGTGAGTTCAAGGCCAGCCTGGTCTACATAGTGAGTTCCAGGACAGCTGGGGCTACAGGGAGACCCTGTCTCAAAAAGACCAAATAATAATAATAATAATAATAAATAAATAAAATTAAAAAAAAAAGAATAAGTGGGCATGGTGGTGCACGCCTTTAATCCCAGCATTTGGGAGGCAGAGGCAGGATCTTTGTGAGTTTGAGGCCAGCCTGGTCTACATAGTGAGTTCCAGAACAGCTGCTTGGGCTACAGGGAGACCCTGTCTCAAAAAAAGACAAAAAAAAGAATAGTTTTAAAGAATACAGTCTTGGGGCTAGAGAGATGGCTCAGCAGTTAAGAGCACTGACTGCTCTTGCAGAGGACCCAGGTTCGATTCCCAATACCCACATGGCAGCTATGAACTGTCCTTAACTCCAGTTCCAGGGAAATCTGAAAACCTCTTCTGACCTCCACGGGCATTGTACAACACGGGTGCACTCACATACATACAAGCAATACACTCATACAAATAAAATAAGAATAATGAAAATAGAATATTTTAAAAAAGAGATACAGTCCTAACCTGGGCTGACAGCTCATTAAGCCATCTTCTGGGGCTCAGAAAGAGCACCCCATTCCTGACTACACATTCCAAGGATACATAGAGGCCCTGCTGCTCCCACGGTGATATTTCCACCTTGATTTACCTTATTTCCTCCTGTATTTGTGTGGACTCATCTCTTAGAATGAGAGATGGGGCTGGGAGATGAGGTGAACGCACAGCTAAGATGCTGACCTGCTCTGCTGGGCTTGTTTGGAGAAAAGGGGAAGGAAACAGACAGCTGGGTGCCTGGACGGGTATTCTAGTTCTCTCTTCAGAAGAGGAAGCTGATAAGGTGGGTGGGCTGCCCAGGAAGTGGACAGGAAGCTGCTACTTACTGTGTTTCCTCTGTGGCCACAGGCTTGACGTAAGAATCACTGGAGTAGAGAACCACATTGGCCACTTGTTCCACTGTGAAGGGAAGGCAGAGTGGGGTGATCTGTGGAGCCCTCTTGCACATGCACTCGGTCCCTCCTGGACTTCCAGGGGATGTAGCAGGACTACATGATCTAGCCTCGGGCCCTCCACTGATAACCTGTTCATAGTCAACTTCTGCCCCCATCTCTTGGGGCTCTGAGACACAGCTCTGGGGAGCCTCACGTCTCCTCCAAGCCCTGGGTGTCTTCATCTAAAGGCTCAGTGTCTTTCAGCATCTTTTTACTTACCATTTATTCTCCTTCTACAAATCCAGGCCCTTTCCACCACCCTGCATCTTACTGAATGAGCATGGCCCTCCCAGTCTTCAAGCTTTCTAGCATCCTGCACACAGGACCAATTCATGGTGTAACATTGTAGACAGGAAGGTGGGCCCTGCAAGCCTGTCTATTTAGGCTCTCTCTAATCTCTGCTCAGCCATCAATTTAGGGTAAATTTTTTTTCTAATTTTACTTTATTTGTGTAGGACTGTTTTGCTTACATGTATGTTGTAGAGGCTAGAAGAGGATGTTGGATCCCCTGGAATTATTGTTAGGGACAGTTGTGAGCCACCATGTGGCTACTGGGAACCAAACCTGGTCCTCTGCAAGAGTAGCAAGTATTCTTAACTGTTGAGCCATCTCTCTAGCCCCTGTAGGGTAAAATCTTTAGCTCCTTAAGCCTCGGTTTTCCCACCAGTTAAATGGGGTAATTGCATAGAAAAGCTGTGAAGATTAAAAAGATGGGCTAGAGGCCAGAGGGGTGGCTTGGTAGTTAAAACGCTTGGCCCTCAAGCAAGCATGAGTTTGCATCTTCAGAAGTCACTTATATGCCAGGTGGGCATAGAGGCTTGCCTCTAATTCTAGCCTCCAAAGGCGCTAGATCCCCAGAACATACTGGCTGGTGAGACTAGCCATTTCCATGAGCTTTGGGTTTGATTGAAAGACCCTGCCTCAACGAATATGGTAGAAGAGCGATTTAGGATGATTTTTCACATCAACCTCAGCCCTCCACACCCACGTGCACACATATGAACATGTACTCACACGTGTAATCACACATGTGAACATGCATATATATATATATACACATGTGCATGCGCACACACAAACACACACATATGAAAATAGAAAGAAAAAAAAAGATGGGCTGGTGAGATGGCTCAGCAGATAAAGGTGTTTGCTGCCAAGGCTGCCACCTTGACTTCAATGCCTGGAACCCAGGCGGTGGCAGAGGAAAGGAATTCCTGCAGGTTGTCCACATGTGTGTTATCACACACACACACACATACA